CCATAAGCTCCATTGCCTTGTCCCCAGGCCTGAGAGGCGGGAGTCTGGCCCAGGGCAGGCAAGTGCGGCGAAGTGTCTTCCAGCAAGCGGTTTGAGGCCTCGAGGTGGTCTCCTGTCCAGTGACCATATCCAGGATAAAATCCTGGAAGAGGGGGAATCGAATAGCAGTGAGGTGGCCCATGAAGGTTGCCGCCCGGTAGAGGAGGTAGGCCGATGAGATGCGGACAAGTGGTCGTTGTGGTAGTCTTGACACCTCCTGCGCAGGAGGTCCATGTCCCACACATAATGGGGCACCCAGGACCAGGCACCTCATACAGTCCAAGCAGTCCACCCAGGCCTTCTGCAAACCAAGGCCCTGATTCGGAGTCTCCATCGTCTTCGAGATCGTTTCTGTCCAGACCGTCAGACAGGAACATCGGTTCTTGTGCCTCTGCTGCCTGAGCCGGTCGTGCGACGCTGCTCTGAGCGGAATTCGCGCCGATTCCGCGCACGAGCAGAACGATTGACAAGGCCACTCCAAGTGGTCCCCACCACCGCCATCCACAGCTCTTTCCTCTTTGTGAGGCGATGTTGGCATTGTTCTGCAAGCTCTGAAGCTCCTCATCCCCCTCCATTTCGGATTCGGAAGGCAAGGTGCCTCCAGCCGCCATCGCCGTGAAGTCTGCTCCCCCCATTGCTCGGCTAGACTCGGATCGGTAGACCCGGTAGACTCGCCATACTGCGGGCCGAGGTGCCAGCGACACGAATAAATCAGCACACTTGCCAGCATGACCCGTTCCCGTTCAACATTTAGCTCAGGCGGCACATCATGCAGAAACATGAGGATGATTGAGGATGCTTGGCTCGTGTCTGAAGGCAACTCGAAAAAACGAAACCTCAAACATGCCAAGCTGCCACATTGTCCAGATTACGAACTTGGGCAGGGCGTTCCAAGCGGTGCGCTCTTCCGTGCTCATCCTCGCAAGATTCGACAGACTCCAAGAACGATGTGCGATTCTTTTCTTCGTGGGCAGCTTGCGGCCGCCACGCCAGTGTGTGCCAAGCGGCCGCGCAAAAGTGTGCAAGATGAAGCTGCGAATGTTCTCGTCCAACCCTTTGGGGCATATCAAGTCCAGAGTCTGTGTAGACAGAGTGTCTTGAAAGACGAAAGCACTCGATTTCGGCTCTTCTCTTGGGTCATCCGAGCCTAAGGGCAAGTTGTGCTCCAAGCCAACGCTGTTCTGGCCGACGATCGGGCTACCACCAACCTGCAACCAGTGGCTCTGTGCCCCAGCCCCAGCTAAACGACTCAAGGCGACTCTTGGCAAGAAGCACTGTCAGCGACGCGAAGTTTGGGGCCGGACCTCGGAACACCATGACATGCAATGCGAACGCAGCCGTGCAGGGACAATCCCAGCAAGTTCATGCCGTAGCCAAGCATCAAAGCTCGAATGTCAGGGTCATGCAGGAAAATTTTCTCCCGAACTCGTTCCGCCTGCTTCCGTCAGGAATTTAGTTAGCCATGGCTGCAGCGTCATGACTGGTGAGCCCGTGAGCCTCCTTGAAGGACACGTAGCAGGTTCCACGCTTGCGCAGGAAGCGCAATCGGCGGGCAGTGCGCTCCTCAACATCTTGATCAGTGTGTCACTTGACCGCTCTATCGGCCAATTATTTTACCCGAGGACGGCTGTGAGTTGAAGCGTGCATGCTCACTGCAGAACACTATCTGGCGCGGCATGAGGCTCGTCCGGCTGGCTAATGAGTATAGGTATATGATGGACGATTTGCTGGCAGGGCTCATCAATAAAGAAGGCGCGCATCACTTCTGCTCTGAGCTCGGCGATTGTTGACTTCGAAGTCCTTTGCCATCAGATCTGCTCCCGTGGTGGGTAGACCCTTCTTCGCGCTACGAGCAGCAGGGCTCAAGTGGATGACCTGGTCTTCGCCTCGGCCCCGGCCGAAGCGGTCAGAGGTTTCTATTCGGACTTCCTCTATTCCCCACCTCTTAATCCCCTCCCCAGTGACCCCCACCCTCCAAAAAGGGACATCGGGAGGGGGGGGGGCTCCCTTAAATCTCGAAACCCCTAAATCCCAAACCCCC